ACTTTCGTAGTGTTGGTCAAATTTTCAGAGTTGCACCGAAAAACTATCGCCTAACTATCGCCAAACAAACGGTCGTTACATTTAGATGCGCTTTGATGCAGGGCCAATTGAGAAAATTCGGAACGGCAAAACCTTATGGACCGTTTGTTCAACGGATGCCAGATGCGCTTTGACGGTGTGTGGGAAGACCCTATTAGGGGCATTTGCTCTTGGTTAAGGGGGGACATCTGAGTAACTGGCAAAAAAAAAGCCGTTTTTCTAGAATTTTTTTGGCCAAATGAAAAAGCCAATCGAAAATAATAATGTTATATGTGAAGTACAAAATAAATTTTTTTTTTTTATAAATCGAAAACAAAATGGCGGCTGTGCAGCATTTCTTCGTAGGCCCTTTTTTGTTAAAGGGGGTCCATGGCCGAAAACCTAACGTCCGTAATTTTTGATCAAGAACAAAAAATCAAATTTTGTTAGTTTCTGTATCTCAACCGCTATCGACACACGTAGGTTTTTTTCGATATTTTGATTTTTAGCAAAATGGTGAGTGATTAAAAAAAATTTTCAATTTTCATGAAAAAAAAACGTCACAAAATTGTTGATAAAAAAAAAGAAAGCAAAAAAAAAAAACCCCACGTGTGTCGATAGCCATAGGTATTTTGAATATACTGTCAAAATTTCAGATCGATCGGTTAAGATTTGTTCGAGTTTTGTGGTTTCGAGAAAAACGCGTTTAAAGTTTTAAGTACTGAAAATCGTATACAATTTTTATGTACCTTTAATCTGCGATGCCTGCACCATACAGTTGGCCTTCTACATCGATGTCCTCCTGTTCCTTATCCTTTCGAGCAGCTTTTAAGCTTTTAAACCCACGTGTGTCGATAGCCATAGGTATTTTGAATATACTGTCAAAATTTCAGATCGATCGGTTAAGATTTGTTCGAGCTTTGTGGTTTCGAGAAAAACGCGTTTAAAGTTTTAAGTACTGTAAAATCGTATACAATTTTTATGTACCTTTAACCGCGATGCCTGCACCATACAGTTGGCCTTCTACATCGATGTCCTCCTGTTCCTTATCCTTTCGAGCAGCTTTTAAGTCAAGGCGGGCCTGTTTTGCTTCATCACTCAATGATTGTTCTGCTTTTTTGATGCGGTTCAGGTCCACTGCCTGGCAAAACTCGAAGCTTTTCAAGCCGATTGTCAAGCCCATTATATTACATGTAGTCAAAATTGATATGAAGCCATCGTTAAAAACACATGTAGCAATATTGGCAGCAATATCAATTATTCTTTTGCCGGAATTCATCGTTTTTGGAGCCATCGCCCACACAGTCGAGTTGAAACTCTCATTGTTATTTTGCGTGTATCCTCCAATGCAGCGAGTAAGAAGATCGTCCGTGACAAGTTTTTCGTATACCGGCTTTATGGCTTCGAAAACATCATCGCGCATAGGTGTATTATGTTCATAGTCATCCAATGTGTTTGTAGCCTTCGCCCTTTGCCACGTGCACCATGAATCTACTCCAATCATTGGAAGAAATTTTATGGTAAAGTGTAGCCCATATAGCGTTCTTCATTTTCTCTACAGAATCGCAATTCCTCCGAATTGCTAATCCGAAAAATATTGACAGTGCGTCAATTAATTTGCCTGTCAATTTCCCTTTTCCTCCCAAGCCTCTTACAATTTTTTTCAAATTACGAAGTAGAGTGCCCAATCGTTTCTGCACGTGATCAACACATTCCTTTTTTATTAAGTACTGTCAATGTTTTGTAGGGCCGAGCATCGGTAATGCCTTTGAAAGTTTTCGTGTCGCCATCGCCGATGTAACTTGCGTACTTTAAATCATGTAATTCTTCAGATCACTGGAACATTTTAAGTGCTGCATCGACCTCCATTTTTCCAGCGGATCCCTCATGGTTCGCTTCGCATTCGCTCGCGTGATTTTCTGCCCATTCTTTGTATTCTTCGGTGTCTTCTTTCTTCGTCCAATGTTCACAGGCTTTGCAGTATTTTGATTTGACGATGACATCAATAATTTTGCCAGTTGCCAGCCGATAAGTGAAACGAGGTCATATAAAGATGTAAATCCACGTTTACGCAATGATCCATCGCCCGATACCGTGATTCCGTTTTGCTCTTCGTTTTCACCAGAAATTCTTTTTTCTTCTTGTGCTGGGACGGGGCAATTCCATAAACGCGCAAAATTTTCTTATTCCTTGCAGACCGATTCCAAGCAATCGCATGGCAAAAATAATTCCTCGATTAATCTCGTAGGCATTCTGGATGTATGGGCTATTCGGTATTTCTTTTTTCTCGCATTTATCACAGGAAACAACAAGTTTAAATCCCAATCCTCGCTTACTGCTCTCTGTGAATTTCACTTCAGAATGACACACTTTACACACAAGGACGTTCGAAAGGGCAGCCAAAACTGTTACAAAAGTGACGAAATGATAGCCGAACGTAGAGTCCAATTCAATGTCTTCAAAACCACGTTCTTTCAATTTCCTAGCCAATGCGCTGACATTCAAATCTTCGGGAGTTTCCATTTCATGTCGATTCAACGGTCTATTTTTCTTCCTTTTCATTCACGACACACATTTATGTCACTCATATTAAAAATGAATTTCAATTATCACTGTTTTTAAGAACTATTCGTCGAGTATTTTGTCCACCTGGACAGACGCCTAACATGGCGAAGACATATTGAATGCAAGAAACTTCATCTAAAACTAAAAGCCAGCAGCCTCCACTGGCTCATAAACTCCCGATCGCCCCTGTGTCTGGACTACAAGGTTCTGCTCTACAACTCCACACTAAAGCTAATATGGACTTATGGCTCCCAGCTCTGGGGGAACGCGTGCAGTACCAATCTAGACATCATACGCGCGCCCAATCAAAAATCCTGAGAACTATCACTGGGGCACCATGGTATATTCGCAACGAACACATCCACAGGGATCTCGGCATTCCTGCAGTTAAGAACGAAATAGAAAAACAAAAAGCGTCCTACAAGGAAAAACTCTCCACCCATCCAAATCCTTTAGCAAGGGACTTGATACGAGTTTCCAGAAGAAGCCGCCTACTACGTAACGACCATCCAACCCAGCCATAATTAGTCAGGGCCATTTACTCTGTACCAGTCTCATGACTGCTAGATACACTTATTGTTAGTCTCATAAATGAGAAGATTCAATAAATAAAAGCAAAGCCTAAATAAAAAAAAAAAAAAAAATTATACGCAAATGTCGTGCTTTTCAACAGTCTACCGGCAGTTTACTGACGCTACACGTGTTTTCTTCACATGTATATTACTAGTGGTGACCCCTTACATGTATATTACTAGTGGTGACCCTTACTGGTATATTACTTGTGGTGGTCCCTTGTAGACTTCCGATAAAACAGCTCCCATTATACCCACAAATCACAGCGCGCGCCGATAACACAAAATATGCCCGAAATATACCTATGAGGCATCGCGGCAGAATGGAAAATTTCGACACTTAGAAACTTTTGCCGGACTCCATCTTTTGATATGTTATTTTTAAGACCTTAAAGTATTTTTTAAGCAAAAAAAATTTTCGATTTTTAAAAAAAGTTACTCAGATGTCCCCCCTTAAAGAAAAATCATAAAAAAAAAACTCAAATTAAGTTAGTGCGGAAAAAATCTGACGCAATCTGTGGTTTTGCTGTTGCTAAATAGTTGATAAACTATTTATTTTACTCCCGCATCGGCCGCTTCAGCCATCTTTGGTTACCTTTTAGAAGAAGCATAGGTGATGGACCAGCTGTAATTGGATGCGGATTCAGATTCAAAGCTCTGTGGGAACACGAGTTTTTCATTTGTGAAAAATACCAACTGTTCCACACAAATGCACTGAGTATAAAGTATCGGCCAACTAGTCTTAATGGTCTCGTTCGTGCATTCTAATTATCTATCAATTTGTTGGTGCGCAAAAATTTCGAAATACGAACCGAATAAGCGTAAATTGCGGGAAATTTAACTTTTCGCCCAAAAAGCTTGAAATTTTGCAGAAAAAAAAAGATTAAAATGGCGATTTTCTACTTATACACCTAATAATATAATATTTCACAATTTTTCTGTTATTCTATTTTCGTTTTCTTTTTCAACTGGACAAAGTTGGTTGATTTACAATTTTTAAAACACACTATTTTAAGAAAACTCCTTTTGACAGACGTAGTAAATTGTCACTCGCCAACAAACTGACAATTTACAAGCAGATTATAGCGCCAATCTGGAGATATGGTTGCCAGATCTGGGGGCTGACATGCGATAGCCAGATCCGGAGTATCCAGGCTGCTTAGAACAGAGGTCTTAAAAATAACATACCAAAAGATAGAGTGCGGCAAATATGTCTAAGTGTCGAAATGTTCCAATCTGCGGCGATGCCTCTCATGTAAATATATACGATCTGTCGAGAGAGGCTGTAAATAAAACGAGCGTCTGACGTTGTTGAGTTGATATTTCAAACTAAATTTTATTCGTTCAAATCCTATCTTAAATAGCTAACATGAGAATGTACATTATTGATCTTAGTTCTAGACCCACGCATCGGACAGTTCCCGATCGTGGGTAATACTCTAAGTGCGATAAGGGAGCACACATTTACTCCGATAGCACATATGGTATCTTAAACAAACCCAGACCGCTCGCAGGAGGTCATATTTCGGGTTGCTTGTATTTACGTAGGCCCAAGTGGCGCGGATGTACTTATAGATAGACAAATGCAGTACATAGCTGCAAAGATTTAGTACCTAACATATGCATCTTATCTATGTATATACTTTTCGTGTGTTCTTTCTGAACATTCTGCCAAAGGCCGGCAAAACTGACATAAGATTTACATCATTTATTGCTTATGTATAATTGCTTCAACGATTTAGTGGACTGTAATTATTTATCTCATTTAATTTCTTTAATTTCAACTTAAGTCTTTCTCTTTTTGATTAGTTATATTTCCTTTTAAACATTAGATTTTCTTATTTCTTAAATTAACATTCGTTTTATTTTGTCTTTCTTAATAATAAAAATAATCGTGTTCTTATGAACATTCTGCCAAAGGCCCGGCAAGCTTGACATTTAGTTACCAATATATTTTATTTTATTTTGGACATTTGTGCAAACAATTATTTAGTGGACTGTAAATTTGTATAATTTTTAACATATTTATATATATCTTTTTCTCAATTATTTGACATTAAATTCCTGGCAACGGGCCGGCGAATGTGATGGCTTCTAATCTTTGCCTAATCAAACATTTTTTTACAAAATATATTATTAAAACTGCTATAATTATCAATGAAAATATAAGCCCAGCGTGTCCGGAAATATGATGGAAATGCAAATCCTTCAATTGTGGATGATTTTCTTTAAGATCTTTAATTTCTTTTTTTAATTTATCAATTTCAATCGTATGATTTAATGGGGTTATTTTTAACGGATCCCACATAATTTTAGGAACTTCACTAACTTCTCCTATGTATGGTGTTGACAGAATCTGTTCACTTTCTGATTGAATATTATGATGTGCTATTAAAATCTTGTCATCCGTTCTTGCAGTACAATATGACGCAATACTGAAGATCCCTTGCTCAGGCAGCTCACACAACTCCATTTGAGAGCCAGTACACTGCACCCTTATTTTGGTATTAAGCGGAACCTTAAACAGCCAACTACTTTTCTTTTCTAATTCTACCCAGTAACTTGTAGAACCAATTATTGTCTTATATACGCAATTCGAAGCTCTATTTGGTTTTAATGGTTGAACCTCACATGCGTTGTCATTCGCGGAGTTCCAGGGCCAACTTCCCTTGCATATCCTTTTACCTTGTTGCCATTTTTGACATTGATTTAAGGTTGCTTCATTCATTAAATGATACGAATCGATTTCAAAATTATAAATCAAATATTCGGAAGTTAGTTGTACCATTATCATTTGTTCGACATTCCTAATAGGCAACGGAATTAGCCTGAATAACTTAGACGGATGCCTACTAAACAAAGGCACCTTTGCACTGATGATTAATTTATTCTCTATAAATAATCCCCTTGCTGTCAATAAAGTATATACCTCCTTAAGTTCCGTACCTGACCTCTTCCCTGGAATTATTAGATTTTCCGACAGATTTTCCTGAATTTTAGCAATCTCACTTTTAAGCTGATTTGGCCTAAGGATGTTTGTATTCAGCCTTCCGTGATTAATATCTATTAAAAGGTTTATAATCCCGGATTGGACTTTCTCACCTTCTTCAATCAATGATTGAAGCTGTTTGGTTACCATAAAGAATTTTATCGATTCTTTGTACACATAGTAATTCTCCTTAAGAACTTCTGTCATGTTCTCAATCCTTACTTGCATACTCCTAAAATTGGCGTTAACATCCTCGGTTGTTCTTTTTAATAAATTAGTAGTTGAATCAACAACTGAAGTTTGCTTTTGAACTAATTGATCAATGTTCCTTTGATTGTCTAATAAGTTTTTCATATTTTCTTCCAATTGTTCCCTGTCATCCTCATCCATTATACCAAATAAAATATGATACAATGAACCCATAAACTCGAAAGGAGCACGCCTGGTTCTGGATCTTGGTTGCATCATGAATAATTTATTATTCTCTTCTAGTTCTAATAACTGATTTTGCATATTATTTAAAACTAGATGGCATTGGTCTTCAAAGCTATGAAGCTTGTCACAAACTTTTCTCATTTCCCCTATCAGCGCTTTTCCTTTTGAAATCATCTTGAAATATGCATCCATGTTATAATAGATCACTAAATTCCAAGATGTACTTACAATTTCCACATCTCCTAGTGGATCTAAATATATTGCCGCAGTACTATTTATCTTTTGTACCTCAAACACATTTTTTTTGGGTTTCATAGCTGAAGCACTGGATACCTGACAAACTAAAGCAATCAAAGTCAGTATCACTATACTTCCTAGTTTAGATAACCTAGGGGAAACTCTTTTTTTATGGCTTACGGTCGGAGTTGTGGTTGCATCCTCAGCTTGTTGTACACCAACTAAAGGACAAATCTTGGTAATCGGCCTCGTCAATGATGCTTCTGAGGTTTTTACTTTGACAACCCTAACTTTATCGTCCCTGCCTTTATGAATTTCTTCTACTTTTGCCATTGGCCATCTGGCTGGGTGACAGTTTTCATCTTTTAAAAGCACTATTTGCCCTTTTTCTATATTTTGACTACCTTTTTTCCACTTATATCTTTGCTGTAAGGTATATAAATAATCCTCTTTCCATTTGACCCAAAAATCTCCTTTTATTTTTTGAATTAACCTCCACCTATCTAGGCTCGAAATTTTTTCATTTTCTTCAACTGCCTCCACTATATCCAACGTTGGTCGAACTATTAAGAAATGCCCTGGCGTTAGCACTTCATTATCATCCACGTCTTCTCCCGTTGTATATAGCGGCCTAGAATTCAGTACTGCTTCGATTTGGCATAAAAGGGTTGACATTTCTTCGTATGTCAATATACTATCTCCTATCACTCTTTTTAAATGATATTTTACGGACTTAACACCCGCTTCCCAAATACCTCCAAAGTGAGGTCCTGCCGGCGGGATAAAATGCCACTGAATTTTTTCAGTTTCCTTTTCTGCAGCTACTCTGGAGTTATATTGTATAGCTTTTACTAACTCTTCGTCTAACTTCCGTGCAGCTCCTACAAAATTAGTACCATTATCCGAATATATATTGGTACATTTTCCCCTTCTTGCTATAAATCTTTGTAATGCTGCTAGGAATGCATCAGAAGTTAAATCACTGACAACTTCCAAATGAATTGCCTTCGTAGCCATACATACAAACATTGAGATATAGCCTTTAAAAGTTTTTTGACCCCGATTTTTTGAGCATTTTATGTGGTATGGTCCTGCATAGTCTATACCCGTAGTTAGAAAAGGGTATGCTACATTTACTCTGCACTTCGGCAAATTACCCATTATTTGTTTGCCTGTACATTGCCGATATCGTGCACAGGTGACACACTCTCTCAATACTTTCTTTAGAGAATCCCTTAACCTAAATATCCAATACTTCCTTTGGATTTGGTTTCTCATTAAATTAATGCCACCATGCAAAGTCTCCTTATGTGCCTTTTCAATTATTAATTTTGTAATGTGGCACTTATCTAATATGATCGGGTGCTGGACATCAAATCGCAAATTGCTATTTTGTAGCCTACCACCGACCCTAAGAATACCATCTTTGTCTAATAATGGATTCAGCCTTAGAATCTTATTTTTCTGCTCTATTTCCTTGTCGGCTCGTAAGCATAATTTTTCGGTCATAAACTGCTGTTCCTGCTGTTTTTCATCTTTACTCTCTTCTTCTAATTCCCAAAATCTTTCCGTATCTTGGCACTCAATCATGGTTGCAACTATTGTGTTATTATTGCCTTTAGATTTTGTGCAGCCCGACACTATCCATCCAAATGCGGTATTTTGACCTAGAAGTCCGTCTATTTTCTTTATTCCATTTTTAAAGATGTGTGCATATAGATCTGCTCCTATTATTAGGTCTACCCTACCTGGCTTGTTGAATTCGGGATCAGCAAGCCGGTATTTATCCCATTTAGCCGTGTCAACGTTAATCATTTGACCTGGTAGTGCCTTCATTAATTTTGGTAGGATGATCGCATCCACCGTCAAATTATTTTTATCCCTTTTTTGGGTTTTGATTTGCAACTTTACTCTATGCCTTGAAATGCATGTTTTACTTGTGGAAACTCCACTTATTTCTGTGTATTTTTTAATTCTCGGTAATTTGAGAATTTGTGAAGCCTCCTCTGAAATTATAGTACTTTGAGACCCACTGTCTATCAAAGCTCTTAATTTTTTGAAGCCACCATTGCCTGATTTTACTTCAATCAGGGCTGTAGCTAACAACGCTTGCTCCGTTGTTCTACACGTGTTCACTTTTTCTGGAAAATTAAAATGAAGTAACGTATGGTGAGGCTTGTTACAAGTAGCACACAGTTGCTCACTTGTGCATCTTTTAAAACTTTGATGCCTCAGACATCTTGTGCAAATATGATTTTTTTTCGCCCAGTCAGTTCTTTCTGCTGGGTTCATGCTTTTAAATTTATAGCACTGAACCAAATAGTGCCCTGGTAATTTACAACACGCACAATTTTCGATATAATTATTGGGCATTGTCATGACCACTTTCTTTACAGGTTTATCTCCCTGTGAAAATGATGATATAGAATTTAGTCTTTGTTCTAAAAATTCCATCACATCAGAAAGTGCCTGAATGTCTTTTGTCTTTTTGACATGACTTTCATACAAATTTAAATATTCTTTATTAAATTTTCGCAGAATTATGTGCGGAAAAACGGCATCGACTTCTTCGGATAAGTGTGCCTTTAATTTTATAATATATATTGACTCATTTATAGTGTCAATAAACTTTTTAATTTGCTTATCTGAATCCAAATTTAAATTTGGCATATCCATAAGCCTATTCATGTGCTCTGAGAATATTTTTCTTTTATTCTCATACCGCTTGGTCAAAAATTCCCAAGTGGCTTCGTAATTTTCTCCTGCGCCTAGCAATAAGTGAGTAACCACATTCCTGGCTTCTCCTTTTAATGCCGACTTGAGATAATTAAATTTTAGAGAGGGGCTTAAATCCTCTCTTGTGTGGATGAGCTCTGTAAACAGCTCATAAAACAGATCCCATTCTTTGGAATCACCAAAAAATGTGGGAATCTGAATTTTAGGCAGGGTTGGTAATTCCTCCGCCTTTACCACCATTGACACATCAGCCTGCGTATTAACTCTGCTGAGTCTATTGTTTATCGCAGCTAATATGTTTTGCGTATCAAATTCGATATCGCTAATCTCCTCCTCGAATACAGAACTTTCGAAACAAGCGTTTACCTGTTCTATTAAATTTTGTACTCTTCTGAACAAAAACTCAATTTTGTTCTTTCTTATTGTCAGCAAATCCTGACTGCTGTCGATGAGAGACGTCGTCTCATCCAAATATTTTCTTAATTTGCCTACCTGAATTCGGAAAGTCTGTGCTATTCCGGAAGCGTTTGAAGTCCCTGGCAACTCAATATTTGTTTCCGCGTTTTTCGACTTGGAAACTGGGGCTGTGGGTACAATCTGTCCCTCTGGCTTATCCTTTAAAGACTCTTTATCAACTCTTAATTTGATTTGAGCCAGGACCATCATTATTACGTCATATTGTTTCGAGTTAAAGTACTCATGATCGACAACGCCGATCTTTAATAGCAATGTATGATTTGCTATGAAGAGTTTCTGAAGCTCTTCTAACCTTACTCTGTCTTGTTTGGTTAACCCTATTCTAGCTTCTACCTGCCTAATTTCCAAAATTATTCCGGACTGCGCTTTTAGCAATTCTAAAGTTTTGTCGGACATCATTTTTGTATAAATATTTTTAAAACTTAGGTATAAGTATTTTTGTTAAATATATTTATATAGGTAGGTTAGCTTATCTGGATTTTTTGACGATGACGATGACGCTGCTGCTGCTGTTGATGCCGCCGTAGTTGTTGTTGTAGAGATTTCCTGATGCCGCCTGTATCGTCGCTGCGGCTGTAGTTGTTCTTGTAGAGACTTATTTGCTGCCGTGCGGTCTTCCTTCCTCCTGGTATAGGTGTCGGCTTTTAAAGATGATTTTATATATATATATATATATATATTTATTTATATATGTCGGAGATTACCCTGAAATGTCAGTTGTAATTACTATTTGTAAGTCTCCAAGTGTATCGAATATGGAAATAAAGGAAGAGTAAAATAAGTAACAACGAGAGAATAGGAAGAGAACTTATTAAGAAAGAGCGTGGTGGGGAAAAAGAGAGTATTCCCTACCGAGTGTGGCGCAATGACGAGTAGAGAAGGACGAGAAAGTAGAGAAAGGGAAAAGTGCAAGTCAGTTCGAGCGAGACTGTGAAGGAAAGCGGACGAACTATTTAGTCATTGCGACTCACTGCGCTTAGAAAAGAAAAGGAAACTACCATGGCCGATAACATTGACCCCCCATCCCCGACATATATATATATATATATTTTTTATTTTTTCACTTTTTTGTTGAACTTATTTTTGGTTCACTTTAACAGGCTCCTTGCCTTGTTATTCAAAAAAATGTTTTTTTTTTCACTAATTGTCCAGTCTGACTTTTCTGTCACTTGAACTTTACGAACTCTTTTTTGTTCGATTTACTTTATTTTCACACAGGCTCCTTGCCTTGTTCTTTTTCACTTTTTTTTTTTTTTTTTTATTTGGCACTTAATACCCGTCGCGTTTAAAATATATAATTTTTCTTTTTATTATATTCACGCACTTTATGCTGATGTTTATGGCCTCAAGCACGCCTTACGAATTTTTCGATTTAAAAAAATTTTTAAGCTACCTTTAGTTTTTTCTAACTACCAGGTGCTTTTTTATTAAAACACAAAAGATTCTTTTGTATCTTTTTGTTTATATATTTATTCTCTGTTCCTTACCACGGGTGGGGGGACACCAGAGATATTTATTTTTAGCAGCCTTAATATTTTTAAGGCGCTGGTTTAAAAACTCTGAACCTCTTACCACAGGGGGGAAAGTTGCAGAGCGGTCGAAGGACCAAAATGTCGAGAGAGGCTGTAAATAAAACGAGCGTCTGACGTTGTTGAGTTGATATTTCAAACTAAATTTTATTCGTTCAAATCCTATCTTAAATAGCTAACATGAGAATGTACATTATTGATCTTAGTTCTAGACCCACGCATAGGACAGTTCCCGATCGTGGGTAATACTCTAAGTGCGATAAGGGAGCACACATTTACTCCGATAGCACATATGGTATCTTAAACAAACCCAGACCGCTCGCAGGAGGTCATATTTCGGGTTGCTTGTATTTACGTAGGCCCAAGTGGCGCGGATGTACTTATAGATAGACAAATGCAGTACATAGCTGCAAAGATTTAGTACCTAACATATGCATCTTATCTATGTATATACTTTTCGTGTGTTCTTTCTGAACACGATCTTAAAACTTTAAACGCGTTTTTCTCAAAACCACTTTTTTTGAGTTGGCCGAAAACATAACTCGAACAAATCTTAACCGATCGATCTGAAATTTTGACAGTATATCCAAAATACCTATGGCTATCGACACACGTAGGATTTTTTTTTTTCGCTTACTTTTTTTTATCAACAATTTTGTGACGTTTTTTTTTTTCATGAAAATTGAACATTTTATTTAATCAATCACCATTTTGCCAAAAATCAAAATGTCGAAAAAATCCTACCTGTGTCGATAGCGGTTGAGATCCAGAAACTAACAAAATTTAATTTTATGTTCTAGATCAAAAATTAAGGACGTTAGGGACGTTACGAAGAAATGCTGCACAGCCGCCATTTTGTTTTCGATTTATTAAAAAAAAAATTTATTTTGTAGTTCACATCTAACATTATCAAACCTACTTTAAAATTTTTCGATTGGTTTTTTCATTTGGCCAAAAAAAATTATAGAAAATGGGCTTTTTTTTGCCAGTTACTCAGATGTCCCCCCTTAAGCATTTGTTAATACAGGGGAACATATTTTTTTGTTGTTGTTTTCATATCGCGCTTTAATCGACCGGGAACGGAACACGGTGATCCGAAAAGTCAAGGTTGACCCTAAAAAAACGTCCTCCCAGATCGCCGCTGAGGTCAAAACCGAGTTTGGGAAGGATGACCGTCAGAAGGGCCCTGCACGATGCCAACTACCATTGCCGTTCTGCTAGGCGAAAGCCTTTAATTTCTGATGTCAACCAAAAGAAGCGTTTGGCCTATGCTAAGGAATATATAAAGAAGCCAGTCGAATTTTGGGATCAGGTGCTCTTCTCGGACGAAAGTAAATTCAATATTTTTCGCTCTGATGGCCGCCAGAACGTATGGAGAAAACCGAACACCGAGCTGGAAAAAAAGAACTTGGCACCAAGAGTGAAACATGGCGGCGGAGGCGTGATGGTGTGGGGATGCATGTCATCCACTGGTGTTGGCGAGCTAGTTTTCATTGAGCGTATAATGGATCAAGTTTATTACCTCAATATTTTGAAAGAAAACCTAAAAAAAGCGCTCTAAAGCTCAATATGCCAGAATCTTTTACATTTATTCCGCCCAGAATGCGCGCTTATGGCTGACATATAATACAGCACATGTACTGCCACATCCTTCGCAGTCACCGGACCTTAATCCAATTGAACATTTGTGGGAGGAACTCGGCAGGCGGATGAAAAACCACGAGATATTCTCCAAAAATGACCTAAAACAGGCATTAAGTGAGGAATGGAAGAAAATTGGTGCAGAAGTCACGAAAAAATTGGTGCATTCAATGCCAAGACGTCTGGCAGACGTCATAAAATAAAAAGGATTACCAACAAAATATTAATTTTATTGTTATATTAAAAAAAATAAATGTTTTATATGAAGTGTGCCAAGACTTTTATATCTCCAATTTAAGTATTGACCCTTTTAAAATGGGGTATTGGTCTATTGGAACCCAACAAGCCGTACGAACTTTCATGTTGGGAGTTGTAATGTCTTCGAATATTGTAAGTTCTTTTTGCACTTGTCGCTCCGCAAATCAAGCACTGCATCAGATCCAAATTATTAATTTTTGTAAAGAAATATCTCATCTCAAGTTGGGAGCTTTCAATATCTTCAGCCATTTTTGCCTTCATTTATGTCCGCCTAAGAATAACGACTGCAAAAGAAATCCAAACGCTTTTTCTTTAGTGCAGAAGTCAACGCCAGCCGCGCAGTTTCCTTTAAAATTGTTCTTGTTTTTGTTACGATGTGCGAGTTCGGTCGCTTGGGTTGTCTTGTTGCAAACTCTTGCTTGCAACCTGCGCCAAATGTCAGTGTCGTTGTTTTGTAAATCTTCACGGTTCCCTGATCGCGAGCACCGAAAAATCTGGCACGACTTGCTGGCGCCTCCGAAAAAAGATAACGGTTTGAGGAGTGTCAGCAAACCGTGAGCACGGTGTGCTCATCTCTGCATTAAACACATTGGCAATGACTTTGACTGCAATTTCAGCGATAAACTTTGCAACCATTGAACATCTGGTAACCAAACTTAGCTCAGCCATTTTACCGATGGTATTTAATAATTTTTAATAACTATCTAATAAACACAGAAATTGTTTGATTCTTGCGAGCTTAAAAGTGTGAAAAATTTTTATTTCCATTTTTCGTTTTGCGCTTCATTTTCGCATCGTTATTTGACGATTTCAAGCAACGCAAAGTTCAATAATATGTCAAAAAGAGTTTTCTTAAGGGGGTTTCCTGAATTAGGAGGCAAAAAAAATCGATTTTTTTTATTGCTTAAATCGATAGATAAACTATCTAAGAATATACCACAAAAATTTCAGAAGCCAATTCGAAGTATTTTCGAAGATACAGAGATGAAAGCAAAGGAGCGCCTAGTAGGTTTGCAGGCGCTTGGCGAACTTTGAAGCGCGTTTTCTCCACTTCACATTTTTCGAATTGGCGGGAGAGATAACTAAAAAACTTATTGACCGATTGAAACGAATAAAGGCTTATTCTCTTTAGAATTAAATTCTCTTCTAAATAGACTACAACGGTTGTTGAAAACCGCTTTTTATATTTTTTACAGCATGTTAAAGTCAATATTTTATCCCGAAAAATGCAATATTGACTTTAACATGCTGTAAAAATATAAAAAGCGGTTTTCAACAACCGTTGTAGTCTATTTAGAAGAGAATTTAATTCTAAAGAGAATAAGCCTTTATTCGTTTCAATCGGTCAATAAGTTTTTTAGTTATCTCTCCCGCCAATTAGGGACTTCTGTGACGAGGCGCTTCAGTAAACTACTTATAAGTCCGCCATTTTGAATTTTTATACCCTTGCAGGGTATTATAATTTCAGTCAGAAGTTTGCAACGCAGTGAAGGAGACGTTTCCGACCCTATAACGTATATATATTCTTGATCAGCATCAACAGCAGAGTTGATCTAGCCATGTCCGTCTGTTCGTCTGTCCGTCTGTCCGTCCGTCTGTCCGTTTCTACGCAAACTAGTCCCTCAGTTTTGAAGCTATCTAAATGAAACTTTGCATATAGTCTTCTATATACTCTCACTGCTATATATGTCGGAACGGGCCGGATCGGACGACTATATCATATAGCTGCCATACAAATGTTCGATAAATTTTTAGAAAAAAAAATTATAACTTGGCTGTTTTTTAATATTATTCCATCATTTTTGAGATATGGCCATTTTATATTATTCCAGAATTTTTATAAAAATTTTATGAAAATCGGACCACTATATCTTATATCGAAAAAAATTATAACTTCGTTGTTTTTCAACGTATTTTAATCTACTTTGGTACATAAGCTTCTGGTATTATTTCAGAATTTTGGTATAAATTTCATGAACATCGGACGACTATATCTTATAGCTGCCATAGGAACGATAGGGAAAGTAATAGAAAAAAGTATAACTTCGTTGTTTTTCAACTTATTTTCATCTACTTTGAGACATGAGCTTTTAGTATTATTTCAGAATTTTGGTAACAATATTATGAAAATCGGACAATTATATCATATAGCTGCTGTTTTTTTAAATTTTTACACCATTTTTTAGATATGGCCATTTTATAATTTTTCTGAATTTTGGTAAAAATGTTATGAATATCGGACGACTATATCTTATAGCTGCCATAGAAACGATCGGGAAATTAATAGGAAACAAATTATAACTTCGTTGTTTTTCAACGAATTTTCATCTACTCTGAGATATAAGCTTATTTTATTATTCTAGAATTTTGGTATAAATTTCATGAAAATCGGACAACTATATCATATAGCTGCCATAGGAGCGATCGGTAGATGTAGAGAAAATGTAAAGGTGTGAATGTAAAACTGTAACTGTCAAACTGTAAACATAATCAGGCCTGCTCCGGTAATCGAAAACGGCAAGATTTTTTCGTTTTCGTTTTTGAAAACGAGAAATTGGTGCTCCGGTAATCGAAAACGAAAGATTTTTTCGATTTGAAAAACGGGCACCTTTTTCCGGCCGGAATGAAAAGTAAATGGCTTTTTTTATATGAAATCAGATCTTATTTACAAAAGGAAAAAAATAGTTTACTCAGTGGTCTATTGATGTTTATACCACACCACCACAAGATCATTCTGGCTCGTAGTTATTTTAAAAAAAATTTATTTCTGACCCTACCTCAGATTTGACAACAAAATTTTTGCCGTGTTCAACCAGTTTTCTCGTTTTGGCGATAGGTCGATAAGTTCACCGCAAAAAGTTATCGCCAAGGTTGCCATATTGTTGGTGGAACGAAACAGCCAGTTAAATATACTTATAAAATATAAATGAATACATTAATAACTTTAAAGGACCGCCAAAATGGTTGTTTATAATTAATGCTATTTAATGTGATTACTTAAATGGTCCAAATTAACCAAATAATTATTTGAGACCACCGGAATTAAAACT